GCTGCTGAGGTGTTCAGTTTTCGGGGAAAGCACTTATTTACTGCATGAGCCCAGGAAGGCTGGTAAAGACTTGGCTAAAAGCTCCGCATGGAGCGAATTATGGTAATTGAATTAATGCTCAAATCCACAAAGCTCTACTCAAATCTGCTGAAAGGTTTTGCACTTTATTGCCCACATCTTGACGGGCAATGAGTCCACTGGAATTGTTTAACACTTCATAAGGAGGCTTCCCAGATTAATTTCTCATCGTTACAAGAATTACTGAAGAATGTCTGGAGGTATCTTCCAGAGCAATCTTTCAAAGTCAAAACTGAGAGTTAACAACCTCTTTACTATCTTCCACTTTTGGTTCACCGAAACTACAAGTTCAAGTCACCAGAAATGAAAGTCAAAGGAAACATCACATAATTAGTTTTGATAAATGGGTAAGTTTTAATTCATGTATGGCAATATTCTGGTTAATGATACGTCTCCTTAGGACATCCATTAAAAATCCATTAAGTTAACAGGCTAAATCTAATAAAGTTACTCTGGAAATTTTCTGCTAGATTAACATTATGGATTATTAACGAATATTTCCTGTAGGTATTGCTTTATTAGCAAACTGAATATACCAATTAAACACGGGTTTTGTGTCAGGGTTGGGGGAACACCAAAACATTAAAAAAAAAAAAAAAACATAGTTGAAGTTAGACCCAAGTTGCCAAAGATACTACAAAAATCAGTAAAAATCATTATAGCTTTTATTTTTGAGAGAGAGAGAGAGAGAGAGAGAGAGAGAGAGAAAGACATAGAGAGAAGGAGACACAGAATCCAAAGCAGGTTCTAGGCTCTGAGCTGTCAGCACAGAGCCCAACGAGGGCCTCCAACTCATGAACCGTGAGATCATGATCTGAGCTGAAGTTGGATGCTTAACTGACTGAGCCACCCAGGCGTCTATCATTATAGCTTTTAAAAGCAAAAAGTGCCAACCTACCAGGACCAGCCATCTCAATTTATCTACTTACTAATCAAATAGTAAAATTTATCTACTTACTAATAAGATAGTAAAATTTATCCACTTATTAATCAAATAGTAACTGAGCTACTAAACTGTGCCATGCCCTGTGCCAGCACTGAGGACACAAAGGTAAATTAGTGAAAATCCTGACGTCAAGGAGCTCACAGTCTAGCATGGAATCAAGACACACACAGGTAACCAACGTGTATTATAATAAGATATGGCCAATATACCATGGGAACACTCAGAAGGAACAACCAAATTTAAGGGATAGTGGGGAGCATGAGTAAAAGAAGTTGAAATTTGTGTTCCAATATGGTATCACCTCCTTCTAGGGCCTCCCACTGGAAGGTCTTTGATCCTGACTTATCATTTATTGCTTCTACATGTGGTTAAATGAGATTATTTATCAAATTCTCGTCTGCAAACAGGGAAACACTATTTTTTGTCACTGACTGTGAGAATTACATGCCACAAGGTATGAGAAAGCACATAGACATGTGCTTGAAATACAGAAGGGGAAGCAGGGTTGGTACTGATCTGCTGCTTACTATTCATAGGCACCCACTGAATATTAATGGCAAGTCAAGATAGCAAAACGGCTGGAGCAGAATTTGGAATCATTCATACGTGGGTCTGAATTCTGCTTCTACCGCTTGCAACTTATACAGCCATCATTTAAACACCGTTCCCTTTTCTGACCCTCAGTTTCTTCAGCTGAAGAAAATACAATAAAACAGCTCTGTTACACAGTTGTAAAAATTTAACAAGATAAGGGTTGTAATACAACAGTATCATGTCTGGGAAGCAGTAAGCTATTAGTGTTAATTGCTACCATTTACTCTGTCTTCACAGGTAAGACTGTAGAGATATGGAAACATTACTCGACTTATCTAAGTTGAAACCATCAGTGCCAGAACTAGAACTGCCCTAGCTCCCAGTTCGGTGTTTAAACCCATCTTGCCTGTACCCCTCAATTAGATGACAAAACACCCTCCCCTAGCACTCAGTCCTAAAGGTTCTTCAAGGTAGCAAGCTCACGGGGTGCCTCTAGAACAAAAGATTGGGAACTCAGGACCTGATGGCCCTGCTTTAACTCTAATGACCAGTACACTAATACCCTGGTGCTATGGGCTGAATTTGTGTCCCCAAGTTCCCATGGTGAAGCCCTAATCCCCAAGGTGACTATACCTGGTGATATGGTGGGTGGGACATAATGAAGGTAAAATGAGGTCAAAGGGTGGGACCCTGACCCAACAGGATTTGTGTCCTTAGAAAAAGAAACACCAGTGAGCATTCTCTTGGTCACACTCTTTCTCTGCATATGTAGAAAGAAGAGGTCATGTGAACAAATGTGAGAGGCAGCTGCCAACAAGCCAAGAAAAGAGGCCTCAGCATTAAACTTACCTTGTTGGCACTTTGACTTTGGACTTCCCAGTCTCCAGAAGGGTAGAAGTTCCTTTCCATTGCTATAAGTCGCTCAGCCTACGGTGTTGTTATAGTAGCTTTAGTGGTCTAGGACCCGGGACAGTTCTTTGCCACCATTTTCTCTTAACTCTTGCCACCTGTCTCGGTTCAAACAACCTTGCCTGTGTCTCACACATTCCGTCAGCATCCATTTATCAGTAACGCCTGTGCCGAGACACTTAAGGGTAAGGCACAGTGGTCCTTGCCCTCTAGAAGCTTTCAGCTGAGCATCAGCTTCTATGCAGCTGCCCATTCTCCTTGGGAAAAGGAAGCACTGTCTAAAACCCCTGCCTGCTTGGCAGGAGCCCCAACATGCCACCCTCTAGCCAGCTCACTCAGCCCCCACCATAAAAGACCGACCCTGGTCCCCGTCACTGTCCAAGCTGCTGCCTCCAAATGGCCCGACCACCCAGAATTTTAAAGCCAACCATCGTATTAGTCATATTAATACTTAAAATATTAACTCTTTTTTACACCCTATGAAATTATATTCCACTGAGATCCCATCACACCCTACTCCCGTCCAGGTAGGCACACTTGTTCCAGTCTACTTAATGTTGGCTTTGGGTGCTCAATATTGGGACTGCTGCCCAATCCTTCTGGAGGCCACCATACACCCACACCAGTTGCCTCCATCTCATGTGTCCCATAGGCAGTCTGCTTTGGTAGGAATGTGTGGAATTAGAGACCCTAGTTCTAATACTGACTTGACAACCGAAGAGCGGACAAGGAACTGAATCTCAGTCTCCCCATCCATAAAATGGGAACAGCTAGCTACACTACCAGGTCTGTGAGGGCCAAATGAGATAATGTATATAAGTCACCTACCAAAGGACTCAGAATGTAGATGATGAAGAAGAAAGCTGCTTTGCTGTATTCCTCTCATCCCTCGTCCTGACCTCTTCCCCCTTCTCCACCAGCTCAGATCCAGAGATGGTTTCAACTGAGCCACAGCAATTCCAGAATGGCTCTTTGTGCATACTACTATGACTGTTCTTTTTCCCCAGACTTAGCAATTTGTAGTTGAACAGACCACAGACAACTAAGGTATGTTGCCTACCACATGGTAGTGCAGGGGCTACCTGAGTCTCTCATGTTTCTATCCTTGAACTTTAAATTTTTTTTTTTTTTACATTTATTTTTTGATAGAGAGAGAATGAGCATGAGCAGGGGAGGGGCAGAAACAGAGGGAGACACAGAATTCAAAGCAGGCTCCAGGCTCTGAGCTGTCAGCACAGAGCCCGACGCAGGGCTCGAACCCACGAACCGTGAGATCATGACCTGAGCTGAAGTTAGATGCTTAACCGACTGAGCCACCCAGGCGCCCGATCCTTGAACTTTAATAGATGGGTCATGAGGACTCCACACCAGAGAAAGGTGAAAGTGGAATAATCTATTGTGTGACTCAGTTATTAAGGGCAGTCAGAATGTGTAGCTGACACCAGTTTTTTGCCAATATTCAATAACACAACTCTCAAGTTTTAGCTGGTCATGCACATGGACACATGGCTGCCTGGCCAATGACCACATTTCCCAACCACCCCTACAGCCTAGCTGGGTCTTATGAACAAGGGCTGGTCAGTGGGATGTGATCAGAAATGACGTGGCTCATTTCCAGGTTATGCGCTCTCCAGAAGAACATGGATGGATTTCTCAGTCCTTTTCATTCGTCCCACTCACTGGCTGGGAACTGATGAGAACTGGAGTAACTACCTTGGACCCAAAGTTGGAGGTAATGTTGTGACAATGGCCGAGCTGGCCTGACAGTTACTTACCTCTATTCTATCACAAAGAGAATGACCTTCCATCTTGTTTAACCCACTGTACTTTTTTCCCTTGTATTGTTACAACATCTTAGCCTAAACATTCAACTAGAACTGTTAAGTAGTAACGAAAGGAAATTAACAGCTCTCTCTGAGATGACCGTGCAAACTTTAAACTTTCAAATGTGAGCTACTGTGATTTGTACTTAGCGTCTAAATTCTTCCCCCAAGTAAACCCCTACTAGTCACTCATGCCTTTAATGCCTACTCATTGCCACATAAAACTGGAAGTCTGGGATTCTATGGCCTTATGGACCAATGGCTCATGTCCTAGTTTGTCTTGTTCCCGTTTCTTCTAATTTTGATGTCTTCAACTATTTTTTTCTGTTCATGGCCTTGTGTGGTTCCTTGAACCTAATTCATAAAACATCTTCCTAGTACTCATGGGAAACAATCTATATGTACTTCCTCGATTACGCTATTCCCAGCAACTCCCTGCAAATGTCTTCCTCAATCTAGCCCAATGTCTACAATTCTGTATTTCAGGACTGACTTCCACAGCCTATATCTCTACTCAGGTCCTATGAGTCCCAACACAAGGGCCCACTAGTCGTGGTCGACCCACAGTAATGGATTCATCCCTCTTAGGAAAACAGGGCTGAGTTTCTGCATTTCAATTCATACAAAAATAAATAAAAAACCAATATCCTCATACACACATGCATACACATAATCACTTTCCACATGTTTCCATTTTGTTTTGATTTTACCTATTTTGCTGTAATTATCCGCAACAAAATCTTCCAAGCCGATCAGCTTCCAGAAACTGTCATCCCAGCCTTTCTCTGCCGAGTATGTCCATTTGCACACCAGGGAGCAGAGAGACCTAAGAAAATGGGACAGAGGCAGAACCAATAGTATGAGTCAGGCTTCCTTTATATTTTGCCAAATACCTCCCCAGATATCTGAAGCAATGTTAACGGAGTAGAATAAGTCAAACTAAGTAATTACACATCCCTGTTCAGATTCAAAGTCTCCATTTGTACCTGGCCATGGGTTGGTGGCTGTGGGGCTCAGTGATGGGTAAATGGGTGTTCTACTCTGCTTTGTGCATGTTCAAAACTCTCTATAATAAAAAAGTAAAAAAATTCAAAAAGTGACCGGCATACATATGATTGCTTCAGTCTAAAGCAATATTTAATAGAAGGAAGACCTGAATGCTGGGAGGTACTTTCCTCTCCGGCTTCATTTCTCATACATTCAGCCTTAGTATTGTACATTTCAGCAATAACAAATGATTTGCAATTCTCTGAAGGGGGGTGGGGGGTGAAAAACATATTTGTGCACATTTCTAGGTCTTTGCCCTATTCCTACTTGTTTGGAAACTCTTCCCAGCTTCTTCATCCTGATAACTGAGTCCCCAGTTCTGGGTAGAGGTGCTCCTCTGAACTCCTGGAACGTGAAACATACCTTCTATTATCGCGCTTAAGTGCTGTGTAATTAACTGCTTCCTATGTACCTTCCCAACACTGCTATTGCCTTCCAACCCATGCTTCATGGTGTGCCCATAGCAAACCTTATAAAATTAAATCTGATTATATCAATCCCTGATTAAAACTCTTCAACTGCTCCTCAGTGCCTTCAGAAAAAATCCAATCCCTTAGCTGGGCTTAAACCGCCTTTAGTAATAGGACTGTGCCAACCTCCAGATTCCTGTCTTGCCGTTCCAACCCCTGCTTTCTTCATTGTCCAGAGTGGTATTATTTGAAGTCTCCCTTAGCAGGCCTGATTCCTCACTTCCCTGGGCACTAAAACCTTTATTCATTCTGCCTAGGATGTTCTTCATTGTTACGTATTTGCCAGTTAGCGTTCATGACTCTTATCCCTTTTCATGAACCCCAGTGAAGGGCAAACTTGAGTCCAAAGCCTCTTCTCTAAGCTTCAACCTGGACATACCTGTAACATTTACCATGGTAACTGTCTCTGCCCATTCACTTCCCTGTCTCCCCCACTAAGCCTTCAGAGCCAAACCAGCCCTGCCCAGCTCTACCTCCAGTACATAGTCCACACTCAGCCAAAATGCATACTGACTGAATGGCCACACCAACAATCGAATATGGTCTATCCGCCTCAGCAAAGGTAAGTGATAAACTTGGGGAGCTCACACAGTTTTAAGGCTAAAACTATCTCTTAGAGTCAATAGTCTATGTGCATCTCATTCAGTCATTCACACTGATTCACTCATGCACTCACCCACTCAAGAAGTAGTTAGTACTCAGTTACTATGCTCCTGGCACTATGTGATGCCCTGGGGAACCAGTGGTAGGCAAAAGAGTTGGTCCCCTGCCTGCATAAAAGTTGACAGCCAAACTGGGGGACACAGAAATTAATAAATCACACCTCAAATCACACACTAACAGTAATTTCTAAAGGAGGGAGAGAAAAAAAAAAATGAAAACCTTTAGCAAGGGAATCTGATATAACCTGGTGGGAGAAAAGGGGAGAAAGTATCAAGCAAGAAGGGCTCCACACAGGAAGTGACCTTTTGTGGGACCCAAAAGTCTTTTGAAAGCGAATACATGTTATTTATCATTCAGGATTTTTCTAGACATGGTGGAGAGGGCAGAACACCTCGAGCTAAGGAAGCTAAGTGGGACAGATATACTGAAGGGGTGCTAGCGTCCACAGAAATGTAACACACACATGCTAAATCCTCCACCTTATAAAAGACAATTCTCAAAATCTGAGGTATCAAGAAGATAGTCACCTACGTAGCACATTCCGAAGAACATACAACAGGCTAAATCCTCTTGGCACAAAGCCTGGAATTCCAACTTTTTGGAAGCTCTGATGGCTCAATGCTATGGAACCGAAGACGGTGTGGACAGATGATGTCTAATGATCTGGCCACACAGAATAGCACTTCACTCTCCAAATGCCCCAGCCATTTGCAGAATTCTATACCTCTGCTCTCAATGTTCCTTCTGTCTTAATTGCTTATTGTTCCTTCCACTCATTCTTGACTATTGGCCAACTCCAAGTCCTCCTTATAGTCCAGTTCCAATGGCACCCCCCACCACTAGCTCCAAGCTAAACTCATTGCTCCCTCTTCTGGGGCAGCATTCTAACTTGGTAACATTGCCTTCTAGCTCTGAACAGCGGTGGCAGGTTGGAGTCACGGTCCAAAGTGTCCAAACCTCCATATATGTTCATCTCTTGCCATGTGATTTGTAACTGCCCGCCCCCTCCTATCTCCACCCTATCCACAGGGCCTCCTTTCCTAAGTGTAGACTTCAGATTCTGTCACATGGCTGGATTCGGCCAAAAGAATAAGTCAGAGGACAGCATTCTGGTTTCAAGCCTAAGCTTCAAGAGGCATCATGTGTTTCTGCTTGCTCTCCTGTGTCTCTCGCACAGCCTAGAGAAAATCACATGGGGTTAGCACAGTGGTGCAAGGAGGAGAAGAGATGTGTACAGCAGGGCAATGACCACCAGACTCGGCCTGCATCACACATCCCAGGCCGTCAAGACCTGACGCAGTGAGTTCAGCTAACACTAGAAGAACCACCCAGAAGAGCACAGTCTAAACGAGCAACACCATGAGCCAAATAAATGGATTACTGTGCTCAACTACTGAGCACTCGCTGTGGTTTGTAACGGAGCAACAGTTAAACAACTCAACACTTTACAGCACAATTATGTTATCCCAAGCAGGTTTTCCCCCCAGTAAGGGCAAGGAGAGGGATGTCTGGGTCCTCACAGCACTTTAGAATAAATGGCCAGAGAGCCTGCTTTGAGGAAAAATGACTAAGCCCAGGAGGCAGAGAGCTTCACAGCTGCAGATGCCTTGGGCAACTCCACCCACCCTCCTCAGGATTATTCAAACACTATTAGGGTCCATTTCATTTGGATCTCTTTAAATCAACTCCTAGGTAATATGAATGTGTAAAAGCAGGGGGTGGGATACCTGGGTAGCTTAGATGGTTAAGCATGTGACTCTAGATCTCAGCTCAGGTCAAGATCTCACAGTTTTCCCAAGTTTGAGCCCCGCACTGGGCTACAGTTGGAGCCTGCTTGAGATTTCTCTCTCTCTCTTTCTTTCTCTCTCTCTCTCTCTCTCTCTCTCTCTCCCTCTCTCTTTGTCCCTCCCCTCCCACCCCTCCCCCGTCTCTTTCTCTGAATAAGTAAACTTAAAAAAAATTTTTTTTAAGACATTAAAAACAAATAAACGAACAAACAAAAGCAGAACTGGAAAAATGTAGAGTGGATCTGAGGCCTCCAGCTCTCCAGAACTCTCCAGGAGAGACAGAAAGTGAGTAAAGGCAAGGTACCAGTAGCAGAACAAAAGGTTTCCCTCCCCTTGAGGCCTTTGTTAAGACACCAGGGTTTTGCCATTCCCTGAGGTATTCCTGAGCAACTTACAACTCCCAGAATAGCTGTTCCCCATCAGGCAAGCTGACCTACCAGCCTACTGGGGGTGGAAGGTGTAATCTATAGGATCAGAACCACAGACAGAGGAGAAAGGCTGGGCTACACTAGCAGGCTGGGTTGTTTCAAAAATGAGCAGCCAGGGAGGAGTGCTGTCGCCGGGGAGAAAGGGTCACTGGCTGTTTGTTCTCTGCCAGCCAGAATACCAGGGCAGAAAGTGCTGGAGCTTCCTTGCTTTTAGATTTGTTACTGACGAGACTATAAAATCCTATAGCCAGGTCAAAAGAACAACAACCAGTGAGCAGGCAGCACAAAAACCATACTAACTTAGGGGACCAGGTGATATGAGAGTGGGTCTCAGAGAACATGTATAGGAGGGCAGGTGTCTCTGAAGAGATCACAGTACAACGCCTGGAACTCAACATCAATAATGGAAGTAGCCAGAGGGCAGAAGGCGGAGAAAAAGTCTTTCTGAACAAGACACATGGATTTTAAATTTAAAATTTTTTAAATTTCTCCAGAAGGACTAAAGGGAAAATCGCTGGCACCGTTGAGAAGCCTATTAATGACCGGGAAGGAATTAATAGGAATAATTAATAGGAATCCCCTATTAATGACCGGGAAGACCAAATGAACAACATCTCCAACTACCCAGAGCAAAGGCACAAAAAGAGAAATAATGAGGGAAGAAAGAAGAGAGCAGATCCACAGCAGTATAACATGAGCATTACTGTAATTCCACAAGGGATTTTTTTTTTCCAAGGAGAAAAGGAAAACTTTAAAAACAGAGAGAGAAAGAGAGATGAAAGAGATGCTATAATTAAATGAATACACTACCAGATCTTTTTTTATTGTTATTATACTGAGCTGAAGCAAGATTTAAGATTTAAGCCTGAAGATTAAAATGCTCATTAAGTCCAGGAAGTGAATCCAGGAAATACTTGAGTTTCAAGCATAAACAGAAAATTACACCAGCTTCCAGACAGAAAGAGTAAGTTACTTACAAAGGCAAGAGATTCAGACCGGCTAAGGAATTCTCATCTACACCTCTGGAATGTAGAAGACAGTGGAACAGTGTACAGACTATGAGGAAAAATGATCCAAAAATCCTATGCCCAGACAAAATATTATTCAGCTGTCAGGGGAGAAGAAAAACATTTTCAACATGCAAGGATTAAAAAAGAAAACTTCCCATATACGTGCTGTGAAGGCAATACTTGAGCGTGAACTTAAGCAAAAAAACAAGTGATTCAACATTAGGGAAACCAGTGGTGGTGAGCGCTGAGATGTTCATTCTCTCTCTCCACATGCGTGTGTGTGCACTTACACACATAGGCACGTGTACATGTGTGCGCACACGTACATAGGTACATATACACACGTTTAAATCTACAAAGATGACGATAAACCATGAAACAGGAATTTGTAATACTAAGCTTTCCTGAAACACCTTCCTGG